GGGGAGGAAGAGAGGACCTGGGAGCTCACCCTGCAGCTCCTCTGGGTCCTTCTTGCGCGAGCACAGAGCGTTGCAGCGGTTACCATGGCAACGTTACTGCTCTTGCGAGAGTCAACTCTAGCCCTGGAGCTACGGGCTAGAGTTCACTCTCAACACTGTAACCCCATGGATTCCTGGTGGTCGCAGTGGTGAGAGTGAACTCTAGCCCCATAAACACACTGCCCCCACACACACACCATACACATTCACACACTGCCCCCATACACACCATACACATTTACACACATTGCCTCACACACACACATACACTGCCCACCCATATACACACAGACCCCCATGCACAGCCCCCCATACTAACATTGCCACACACATACACTGCCCACACACCCTACACATTCACACACTACACCCCCACACACACACTGAACCTTTCACACACATTGCACCACTGCTCCTATTCCCTACTACAGCCTCATATCCCAGCAGACCCCAGGTAAGTTGTCAAACTGTTCTTAAACGGTTTGACTACTTACTCTGGAGCAGTAGTGGTTATTGTGCATGGATTATTTCTTTAAATAATCTACAAGTGCCCCAGTAGCCAGCCAGCCAACCCACAGGCTGGCCAGTAGCCAGCCAGTTAGCCAGCCCACAGGCCAGTAGCCAGCCAGTTAGCCAGCCCACAGGCCAGTAGCCAGCCCACAGGCCTACAGCAAGCCACAGGCTTACAGCCAGCAAGCCACAGCCTGCCAGCCGCAGTCAGCAAGCCCACAGCCTGCCGGCAGTAGCCAGCAAGCCCACAGCCTGCCAGCCGCAGCCAGCAAGCCCACAGACTGCCAGCCAGCAACAGTAATTAAGGTAAGAGGAGCCAACTTGGCTTAGGTATCAGCGAGCTATGTTGTGTTGCTATATTGTGAATAGGAACCAGAGTGTTGGAGAGACCACCCTCCAGGCCCCATTAGACTCTAGCCTCTGCTAGAAATCCCCTCCATGGCCCATTAGCCCTCAATTGTAGTTTCTACTGGGGCCTGGAGGCGACTGTTTCCAGCAGGGGATATCTAATGGACGCTGAGATGGCCTCTGTTAGAAAGACCCCCTTCCAAGCCTTTTAGACTCCATTGTAGTCTCTAATGGGGCTTGGAGGGGATTCTTTCTAACACACTCTCTAAAGGACACTGAGATAGCCTCCGCTAGAAAGACCCCCCTCCATGGCCCATTAGCCCTCAATTGTAGTCTCTACTGGGGCCTCGAAGGGCTTATTGCCCTTTTGTTCCTTGTGTCTAAAGATTGTGTAGGGTGTGGCTGGAGGCGGTGCATGGAGGCGGGACAAGGGTGGCGCTTGCTGCAGAGTATGGGTGGGGCCTGTAAGGGGGCCCTTGATTTATTTTGCCCGGGGGCCCTGAGGGTTCTCAGTCCGCCCCTGCCTGTATCTATCTTAGATACTAACCTGGGTTACCAAAACCCTATAATAAACCGGAGACCTTTTATGGTCTCAAAAACCTGTATCTATCTTAGATACTAACCTGGGTTACCAAGAACCCCTATATATATTTAGACCAAATGTCTAATAAACCGGAGACCTCTTATAGTCTCAATATAACTAGAGTCCTTACACCTTTCCTATCTACTGGATACAGACTTACTGAACCAAAGGGGTCATAGACAATCAGCGTCAAATAAGACACAAAAAGGCTACTCACCGCAATGGTTTTGCTGATCCAACTTCTATCTATCCCACTTCTAGACACCAAGCTGAAAGGGTTAATGTTGTAATGGACTCTAATCCCCTCGGTTCTCGATCCCTCGGTCACCATAATCAACGTTGATGGAGGATCATTGTAAGCAATAACACACGGACAACAGCTTTACAAGACTCTCAAATGAGTGTATTCCAGAGCTGGCTTTTATACATAGTTTGCTTACATTAGCCATGGTATATGCAAATACAGTACAGACTATAAGATTTATTACTTCCTTATATTACGTTATTCTGACAATGGAAAGATAAGCTTTTGCATACGTCTGGGAAAGAATATCCTTAAAATCGGAATGGGCAAGACATCCTGAAATTTAGCATTGTCTTACATCCTATAGAAGAAATACCTTAGTCTGTCACAGTCAGCATTATGTCGTATATTGAGTATTCAATATTCCTTCAGTCAGCAATAATCATGTTATAAACCTTATAAAAGCATAAAATACATATAAACAAGTTAACTATTTAATATTCTTACACTTTGTACCAGAATTTGATTTTTAACATTCAAATACACTTTTTAATCCTACTCTAAGTGAAATAGCTATATATTTTTCATACGAAAGTGACAGTGTATTAAGAGTCTATAGTTCAAGTATGTATCATTTACTCTACTACTAAGAGTCAAAAGTTCACAGATGAAGCCAGCATTTATTCTGCACAACGTCACTTTATTTACTGCTACTAATTTTGTTGCCATGGTCATAAACTGTCAAATTTCTCCTTTGTAGGTCTCAGTTGTCTGTATATTATATCTAGTTTTAAATTCAAGCTTTGAATGTACATGCCCTCTTCAGTTTATTTTTTTTACATGCTATAGGTGTATATAGAACCATGGAATGGAAATTTTCTAACAACACCTGCCAGCAAGGAATCATTGTGAAAAGGTCACAGAAAAATCCCTTGTGATATCATTGCAATACATCAAGAAAACATAGTAAAGTATTTAAAGTGTGCTAAAGGCTCAAAAACCCTGGCTTTAATAAACAGTACAAGTGCAATTCAATGTACACATAAAGGGTAAAAAGTTAGAGTCTGGAAAAAAATGGTGCTAACATCTCTACAAAACCAGCTGTGTTTCCTTTTGCAGATGAAAACTAGATGACAAATTAGTTTTTTCGATCTTGCTTAATTTTTTCATTTTTTAAATATATATAGAAAAAGTGGGTGAGGAGGGTAAGTCAATCTTAGTGAGTAAATTGTTGTAAAATATTAATGTCAAAACTTGAATTTTTTTTTTTTTAAAGATTGTTTATTTTCATTTTCATGTTTCATATGAACATATGAACGTTTGTACAGAAAAAGGAAAAGAAAAAGGTGGTTATTTGGGTAACAACAATTGGGTACGACATTGGGTTGTTTGCATTCGAGTCTGGCTCTTTGGGCTGGGGTGTCGTTGTCTATACCGTCTGTCGTGGACCGCTGTTTGTTGGGGATCATAGGGTCAACCACATTGTTTGTGTTATTTGTTTTCGTGCTTCAATGAGGAGGTTGTGGTTGGGATGCAGAACGCTATGTTGTGTAGCGGTCCGGTTTGTTAGCTTCATCGGTGGAGAGTAGGGTTATAGCTTGTATGTCTGTTTTGCCAGGGTTGTTGTAGGTGGTCGTTTTTAGGTGAGGGTTGGCTTCTGTGAAGGTCGCTGCTGTAGGATGGTTTGTTATGTAGCGTTGGATCAGCAGTGCCTGGCTCATGATTAAGGTCATTGGTCAGGGGGATGATAGGGTAGGGAAGGTGGGTTTGTAGGGGGCGGGGGAAGGGAGAAGGGGGTGTTCAGGGGGGAAGGTGATGTGAGGCTGCCCTCTTGGTTACCCCCCGGGACTCCGAGTAGGTGGGTTGGGTTAGGGGTTGGATAGATGAGCGACATGTTTGTCTTTTGTTATGGATTGATGCTGGCGGTGTGGGTTGTGTGGTAGCTGTGGATCACCATGGGAGTGTGTTGTGTCCTTCCAGCCATGGGTCCCATACTTTGTGAAATAATTTGGGGTGTCATGAACTTGAGCTGTCAGCTTGTCCATGGCTATGTTGTCAGTTATTTTAGTGTTTATTTGGAGTTGAGTGGGTATGTGTGGTGTGGACCAGGTTTCAGCTATTGCTCTGCGTGTGGCCAGTGCTATTCTAGCAATGAGTTTGTTTTCATTGCGGGTGAAGGTGTCAATGGGTTTAGAGAGTAGGAGAGCCCAGGGGTCTGGGGGTACTGGTTTGTTAAGTATTCTAGTTAAGAGTGTTGTGATTGTTTTCCATAGAGGAGTGAGTTTGGGGCATGTCCACCAGCAGTGGAGGAAAGTGCCGGTTTCGCCACACAGTTTCCAGCAGAGGTTATTGGATATTCGGTTCATTGCCTTTAGGCGGAGGGGGGTTAGGTACCACCTGAAGAGCATTTTATAAGCTTGCTCTTTATGGGTGACGCAGATTGAGATGGATTTGATGGATGCCCATATGTCTGCCCAATCGGTGGGATCTTCAAGGGGCCCCAGGCATGGGCGTAGGAACCCAAAAAAATATGGGGGGGATAGCATTTTTACTTGCCGGGTACATTCTTATTCCGTAAACTAGTTGTTTATCCCATTGTACAGTGCTACAGAATTTGCAGTTGCTATATAAATGATTAAATAATAACATTAAAGGGTCACTACAGGGAAGGGATTTTACTTACCCGGATACAGCCCCGGGATCCTCCTGATGCCGCGCCCCCTATTTCGTCAAAATGACAAAATAGGAGGGTGCGAGCAGGGAGCAATAAAACACTTCTATTCAGAAGCGTCATTGCTCTCTGGTGCGCATGCGAAGCTTTGCTGCACATGCGCAGATACTTCATAGGGCGGCATTCATGTCCCCTACCCCTCCCATGAATATTAGAACCACAGCTACCCCTTCCATGCACAAAAGAACCGCACCTACCCCTTCCACACATATTAACCCCCCTACCCCTTCCATGCATATTAGTACCCCCCTAACCCCTTCCATGCATATTAGTACCCCTTAACCCCTTCCATGCATATTAGAACCCACCCTACCCCTTCCATTCATATTAGTACTCCCCTAACCCCTTCCAATAATTTTTCTACCTCCCCCTCCTCCCATCCTTATTAGTAGCCCCCCTAAACCCTTCCAATTATTTTTCTACCTTTGTCCCCCCTTTTAACTGACATAGCAGGGGGACCTCTGGACGTCTGGCAGGCGCAGTGTCAGACTGAGCGCCGGGTAGTCACGTGACACCCAGCCAGGGCCGGTGCAAGGGTTTTTGCCGTCCTAGGCAAAATTAAAGTTTGCCGCCCCCCCCCCCATGTGACATTACAATGCCCCACCCATATGATCTGCCATATTACCTAACGCCAGTGCTGGAGTGCCGCCGTGTTTACATTAAAAGGCCTGCAGGGACAGGCTATAGACACCAGAACCACTACATTAAGCTGCAGTGGTTCTGGGGACTATAGTGTTTCTTTAATGTGAGGTAAATTAGAGATTAGTGCCACAAATAATATGCTAGATTGCCTACTTACAACCAGATGAGGATGATGATGGGCTCTAGCTGCAGTCTGGCTCCACTGGTCTGGTATAGAACAGGCTCTCTGGAGGCTGTTTGTAACTGTGGTCACAAAAATCAATGTTCTGGAAGAATGGGAAACAGCTTCCTTTTTTGGGGGTCCTTTACACAGCTCAAGGTCTGGGTCCCAGGGTCCACCTTCATGTTCCACCAATTGTTCACAGGGGGTGGAGTGTGTAGGGGATGTCCTGATATGTGTGTAAGGAATGCATTGTGTGAATCTGTGTTTGTATGTGTAAGGGCTGCAAGGTGTGTTTCTGTGTATGTACGGGATTCAGTGTGTGCGTTTGTAAGGGGTGCATTGAGTGTGTGCAAGGGGTGCATTGAGTGTGTGTAAGGAATGCATTGTGTGTTTCTGTGTGTGTAAGGGATGCATTGTGTGTAAGGGTTGCATTGCTTGTGTGTGTGTGTCTAATTCATTGTGTGTGTAATGCATTGTGTGTTTTTCTGTGTGCAAGGGGTGCATTGTCTTTGTGTGTAAGGGGTGCATTGTGTGTAATTGTGTGTGTGTGTGATGGATGTCAATCTCTCCCCCCTCCCTTGTCACTCTCTTCTCCCCCCTCTCCCTCCCTTGTCACATTCTTCTCCCCCCCTCCCTCCCTGGTCACATTCTTCTCCCCCCTCCATGTCACTCTCTTCTCCCTTCCCTTGTCACTCTCTTCTCCCCTCCTTGTCCTCCTCTTCTCCACCTCCTTGTCACTCTCTTCTCCCTCCTTGTCCTCTCTTCTCCCTCCTCCTTGTCACTCTCTTCTACCCCTCTCCTTGTCACTCTCTCTTCTCCCCGTCGTCCACTCTCTTCCTCCCTCCACTCTCATTCCCCTCCCTCCCGTCAATTCCCCTCCCTGTCAATTTCTTTCTCCCTCCCTCCCTGTCAATTTCTTCCTCCCCCCATCACTGTCAATTTCTTCCTCCCCACATCCCTGTAAATTTCTTTCTCCCACCACCATCCCTGTCAATGTATTTCTCCCTCCCCCTGTCAATTTCTTTTCCTCCCCCTTCAATTTCTTCCTCCCTCTTCAGTTTCATTTTTCCGCCCCCCTCCTCACCTCATCAGTTTCTTCCTCCATTCGGTTTCTGCTCCCTCCTCCCCTGTCAGTTTCTTTCTCCTTCAGTTTTCTTCCTTCCCTCCTCCTGTCAGTTTCTTCCTCCCCTTCAGTTTCTTCCTCCCCTCCTTCCCCTGTCAGTTTCTTCCTCCCCTTCAGTTTCTCCTTCCCCTCCACTCCTGTCAGTTTTCTTCCTCCCATCCCTGTCGGTTTCTTCCCTCCCATCCTGTCAGTTTCTTCCTCCCCATTCCTGTCAGTTTCTTCCTCCCATCCTGTCAGTTTTCTTTCTCCACCCCATCCTGTCGGTTTGTTTCTCCCTCCCCTGTCAGTTTGTTCTCCCCATCAGTTTCTTTTCTCCCTTCAATTTCTTCTTCCTCCCCTCCTCCCCTGTGGTTTTCTTCCTCCTTCAGTTTCTGCCTCCCCCTCCCTCCCCTGTCAGTTTCTTTCTCCCCTCTTCAGTTTCTTCCTCCCCTCCCTCCCCTGTCAGTCTTCTCCCCCTGTCAATTTCTTCCTCCTTCAATTTCTCCCGCCCCTCCTCCCCTGTCAGTTTTCTTCCTCCACCCCCCGTTAATTTATCCCCCCACCCTCCCCTACCTCTGTTGTAGCGTGGCCGAGCCCTGTATGGTCCGCGGGTACAAGGAGCTTTTGTTTCCTGTACCCGGCCGGACTAAAAGGAAGTGCACACTGACACACTGAAACAGATGCTCCCTGTACCTGCGGACCATACAGGGCTCGGCCACGCTACAGTGAGGGAGTGACAGGAGGGAGCGCTGAGCGCTTCCCTCCTGTCAGCCCCTCTCCTCATGCTGCGCCCGGGCTGTGTGCCCTCCTGGACGCACCAGCCCAGGCAAAGCTGCAGCCGCCTGAGGCTCTCTGCAGAGCGCTCGGGCGGCTGCAGCATTAGGGGGGCCGGCGGAGCTGGGGGGATTTCTCCATAACCTATCCCCCCAACATGATTTGTGGGGGGGATGCGTCTAAACCATCCCCCCCGGTTCCTACGCCCATGGTCCCAGGTCATCCTCCCATGCTGCGATGTATGGGAGGGCCACCTGAGTGTGGTGTGTGGTTAATGCTATGTATAGGTTTGATATTTGGCTCTTTCTGGCGAGTGAGCGGAGGGTGTCCCTCTCGAACCCAGTCAGGGTCGAGGTGGCTGCCGTGCGAACCGTGTCCATTGCTGCGAAGCTTCGGAGTTGGAGGTATCGGAAGTAGTCGTAGGTGGTTAGGGATTCAGGGTTGGGGATTTTCGTGTATTGTAGGAGCTTGCCGTTGGGATAGAGGTGTCCTAGTCTAACTATGTCTCTGTCTTCGAAGTGGGCACAGTGTTGTGGCATGAGGCCTGGTGGGAACATTTTGTTGCGGAGGATCGATGGAGAGGTCGAGCTTATCGCTGAGGCGATCCCACAGATCTAGGGAGTGGGTGATCGTTGGTGATGTGGGAGATGGTAGCGGTTTGTGTGGTTTTGGGATCCACATGTATTGAGAGGGATGGTCCCTACCGAAGATGAAGTGTTCCAGGTCTACCCATCATTTGTGAGTGGGGGGGAGGTGCCAGTGTTGTATTTGTGTTAGGTGGGCTGCATGTAGGTAGTGTGTGAGGTTAGGGAGGCCTAGCCCTCCGGAACTTGAATTTTTTTAAATAGTGAATTCATGCATGTTCAGGAAAAATACCAATATTATACATTAGGTTACATTGTGTATGCATCTTTGGGGTATCATCTCTACCTCTTCTTTCCATGCTTAACAGGTAAAATTCATAGCAATCTTCTCCTAATCTTTTGTAGTTATTTGTTTCCATAAAAACATAATTTGTATAATGATTTTCAAAGTTATATTTTCAGTTTGTGTTCTTCTGTTCTATCATACTTCAATGTATTGCATTCCTTTTCTGGGTGTTTCAGAAATTGTTATAAGCAATATCATGTGTCAAAGCAGAGTCGGTCAGTTTGAACTATCTTAACAAAGGTAATAGATGCCTTTTGGTTTTATTCAATTTTGTACTTGTTTATATTTTACTTGCGTACTATGTACCCTCTGAATTGATGGAGTAACTTCAAAAGAATATATTGTAATGCACACATACTTAACGCGAACTTACCCATACACTATGTTCTACCTTGAGGCTATGTACTTTTTTCTCTTGTGTTATGACATTGGTGTTATATATCTGTTTATGCCACTGTGAAAGGTCACAGTAGGTGTGGAGCCATGAGTCATCAATGCTTCATTTGACCATAACAAGAAGAAAATAGATGGCCCAAAAAAGTCATGTACCCTCTGAATTGATGTCTTAACCCCTTCAGGACGGAGTCAATAGTACACGTTCTGATCAAAACAAAATGTAAACAAAAACTGGAATTTGCGCTATATGTCTGTTCAACCGTAATTCACCTCTTTCATATTAAGTGCACCCACACTTATTATATATCATTTTGTTCAGGAGAAACAGGGCGTTCATTTCATATCAAATATTTATATATGAAACATAATTTATTATGAAAAAAATCAAAAAAACTGTGAGAAATTTTTAATTTTTAAAAATATTTGTAGTTCCGCCTCACATTTTAGCTGTAAATGTCATAATACTGTTAGCTTTTACTGCAAAAAAAGTACATATTTGGATTCAGCAAAGTCTCACGAGTACAACAATAGCCCCCATTAACAGTTTTTTACGGTGTTTTGGAAAGTTAAAGGGTCCAATATAGCACATTCCATTTTTCAGTTTTTTTCACATTGAAATTTTCCAGATTAGTAATGTTACCTTTGAGACCGTGTGGTAGCCCAGGAATGAGATTTACCCTCATGATGGCATACCATTTGCAAAAGTAGACTACCCAAGGTATTCCAAGTGGAGTATGTCCAGTCTTTTGTAGTAGCCACTTAGTCACAAACCCCGGGGGCCTCATTTGCCGTGGGAGGGCTACCTGGGCTGTCAGGCAGCCCTCCAGAAGAGGATCGCGGCGGAGGTGAGCAGTTGCAGGCTCCTGGGCGTGAAAGCGGTTAAGGCGTTCTATGCCGCCGCAACGGCTTTAAAGCCCGTTATAATGGGGACGGCATAGAATGCCGTAACGGCGTTAAGGGGTTAAAAAGTGACATTAGATGTCCATAAAAGTATTCTTTGTTTCATACACACTGTATAGATTTGCATGGTTTTCTCTTTGTTATAATCTTTCCTATTTTTTTTAAATGTCAACTCCTGGTGTTAAATAGAAATTTGTGTGTGTGTGACAGTGAGCTTGTCTGTAGTGAGCTTGTATATGTGTATGTGTCAATGAGCCTGTCTGTAGTTAGAAAGTGTGTGTGACTTTAAGCTTCTCTGTAGTAAGTTTCTGTTTGTATACCAATGAATTTGTCTGTATAAGCTTTTGTGTGTTCAAAAGTAATTTGTCTGTAGTAAGCTTGTGTGTGTGTCAGAGTGTGCCTGTGCTAAATTTGTGTTTGTGTATGTGTGTACCAGTAAGCTTGTGTCTGTGAGATTGTTTTATATATATATATATATATATATAATTGTTTAATCCATACCGGCACTCTTGGTCGTCCAATATAAAAAAAACCTGTTATGCTTTTAATCCATCAGAAAAAGATTGACATTTAAGTCATGCGGTCAATAAAAAGATAATAAAGGTATCCCCAGTCCAGCCCTGGGTTTCAGAATATACCCACACTTGATCCTCCAAGAAAGAAACAGCTATTCTTTACTGATAAAGCTTATGATATGTAAAAATGTATGTCAGCGGAGAGCTGATTGGTATATGTAGACGAGGTTGCCCGCGCATTTGATGTGATCTTGCACAAGGCTCTTTCTTCTCTGTAATAACACAAGTAGGCATACTAATTTAAAAGCTGCAGAGTATTTATTTAGCAAAAAAGCAAGCTATTTGACCACAATTACTTTTTAGAGCTATTCTTCCACGCTCTATTTGTCATACATAGTGCCTTCATTCATTGTGACTAAAGGGCTGAAGGATAAGGCAATGCAGAATTCTCTATTTAAATACAATCTTGCCTGCATTATAACCTGGAAATATATTATTGCAGGCAGACACCAAAATGGAAACAAATTTTCATATCTCACCTTAATATTTATTTTCTACCCCCAGGAAAATCTACGGGTATCGTTTACACAAGCAGCGTAATTTACTAAAGTGAGAGTTATTATTATTATTGTCATTTATATAGCGCCAACAGATTCCGTAACGCTTTACAATATTATGAGAGGGTGGATTTAGCCATAAATAGGACAATTACAAGAGAACTTACAGGAACAATAGGTTGAAGAGAACCATGCTCAAACAAGCTTACAGTCTATAGGAGTTCAAAGATAATTCAGTGAGTTTCACATTTTAAGAAAAATAATTAAACTGAAAACATTGTCCAAGCCATCTATGCTTCCAGTTCAATTATTATGGACTTAAATTTGAAAATCTTAAAAATCAGTCTTATAAATCATTACTATTGCCTTAAATTTGAAAAAAAATTAAAATTTGCATTCATTTTTTTTCTCTGCATGCCCCTGCTTTATTTCCTGCCACTTCCTCTTCAATCCTTTTCAGCTTTTTTATTTCCCTGTCTGTTGCTGACTTTTTACTATCCCAAAATGTCCCCCCTCACCGTGAAATCCTAGCTAAAATCAAAATCACTGCCTCTTTCCCTGTGGTGGGATTCCAACGGCCAGTCTGAAAATTCTAGTGTGCCTTATGTGTCAGCATTACTATTTGGGGTTTGTAACTAGCACAAAAAAAAAAAAAAAAACTATCAATATGTAGACTCTATGAAATTTGTACTTGATGGTTTACCAAAGACATATCATTCCATAAGTCAAATTATGAAACTATTCTAGAAAATAAACAATTAAGTTAATAAAGAAACAGAATTTTCTTCTAAAAGTGTTTTTTTTGTATTTAATTATTCTGAACACAAAAGAATGCTCTTTGCACACGATGGTTTAATCTGCATTATAGTTAAAATAAAGCATTTCCTTTTATAGTAAATATTTACAGAAATAAGCTGAATTTGTACTTGTAATTTTATGGGATCAATTGATGTTTTTACAAAATGCTGAATATTTATGCAGTGAAGCATATAAACTAAATGAATACCATTCTGCATTTCTTGTAAACAAATGAAAGTAATAACTTTTCTTTTATTCCATTATGTGCATGGTATATTGTTTCAACTTAAAATTTAATAAATATGTTTTATTCACTTGTATTTATTGCAACCATTAAATATATAGTCAAGAGAAATCGTTACATTTTAGTATAAAACACAGTTAACTCTGGAGTAGATACGTATACTGATTGGATGATGCCAATATCTTTCCAATATCTTTCCATAATGCAATATGGATGCTTCCAATGTCTTCACTTAATGCAAGACAACACATGAACACAGGCCATTCCTTGGTTCCTGTGACTCACAAGCTTGCAAACACTGCATTGCAGTGCCTTAACACCATTATATATTACGTAAATGAATAAATAAAAAATAAGAAAAAATTGATTTGTATTTTGTATTTAACATTTTCTTGAAGTTTTATTTCAATACAAAATAATTAATAAGAGGAAATCCTGAACCTTTAAAGCATCAGAACAAAGGACACCGAAGAAACACAGAAACTAGGGACAGAACCCAGTACCAACTTGCAAATTAAGAAAACCTCCAACTGCTACAGAGATTAAATATTTCACTGGAAGAGAGAACAGAGAAATATATGTAGGAAATGGGTAAAAGAGAAGAGAATAAGCAGAAGAAGGGAAGAAAGAGAGTTGAGAATTTATGCCAGGTGGATGGCAGGCAAGAATCTATTTCCAAGGGTGCCAGATTATAAAAAAAAGGATCAGTGCAGGGCTCGAGTCCTGCAGGAACGGATGGGAATGGCGTCCCAGCACTTTTTCCACAGCAGGAATGCTGTTCCTGTTAGTAGTCCTGCAGGAACTGCAGGGCCGGCGCTACCATAGAGCAGCACAGGCGGCCGCCTTAGGGAGTTCCGGCCCTGGGGGAGGCGCAAATATCCAGTTGACCATCAGGAGAGAAGTGCACAGCACTCATCTTCTGTTGGACATTTCCTGTAGCGTGGCCAAGTGCCAGTACCTCCACTGCCCGGCGCAAGAAAAGAGGGCGCGCAAGGGATCTGCATTTCCTGTATAGCTCCCTCGTGTACCCTGTAGAGGTCCTCTGTGGGGCATGTGAGGTAGGTACACAGGAAATGCGGATCTAGGTCGGAGCTCCCACAGAGGAGCACTGCGGCAGTCCACTGGACCCCAGGCTGTGGATCCACTCTAGTCCTCCAGAAGGTATGAATACTGGGTGGATTGAAAGAAGTGCGTGTGTGTGTTTCTTTTCCACAATA